ATGATCCCATAGTCTTTAAGAAGCCCTCAACACACTGTCATGCCATGCCCTCTCTCTTTATCTCGTAATGTACACACTTACACTAAATATTGATACCCTTTTGTTCTTAGGTGAGACATTTCTTTGTGCTTAAAGTCCATTATCTCCACACTGAAGCATGCAGAGGAGCAGAGAGATGTCTTTAGGGGGATATAGTGTCATTGTCACGAAGAGTGTCATGGTCGTGTAGGCTCACGTCAAAAAGAAGGAGCTGTTGATGTCAAAAAGTGGCAGGCATCTTTGTAATGTCTTTGGAGTCGATCCATTTCATATCATAAGGCTGTAAAGCTGGGTGTACACTGCGATGTTTTTAATAGTTTCACTTAGACCCAGCTCAAAATGTATGACAAAATACAAATAAAAGTTCACAGCTCACGATTCATGTTCTCACATTATACCAAGTACTTCAACACTATGAAACCCTCACAAGAGGTGACTGGATTTCAAACAGGTTTGATATTCTTGTGACCTACGATTGCCGATCGGGAGCTGGTCATGAGGTATTAATCGGTTCTCGTCACCCCATGTTTACTACACGAAGCACAACACATGTCACATGAGTGAAAAATCGGCTCAAAAACGACCAAAAATCGCACAGTGTACGCCCGGCTTAAAGCGTGTTATACAGGATTTTACAGAAATGTTCAAAATTTTTTATGTTTTTGAAATTATTTGGGTTTGAAAACAGCTACCTAAAACTTCAGCCAAACTGTTACTCTGGATTTTTACCTTCAAAAGTTCAAGTTTTTAATACATTTATGTTACAAATGTTACAGTCACAATTTTAATTTGAGATAATGATTGATTCTGATACTGTATGTTGTGTATTTACTTAGATTTCCATATTATACTTCGTCTGAAATGTTGCACAGTATGGCATTAGATCTATCTGTGCATTTTTTTAAATTACATTGCTTCTTGCTGTTAGCAGACTCGCCTCTCCCCAGATCTAACCTGTTGCTTGTCCTGGTGGAGTCACGTGTTAGTCTCTGTAGAGATATGTTTAATGCCATACAGTGGAACATTCAAGGTGTAATCAGAGTAATAAAATATACACTGGCCAGAGCTGAGATTTCACCACCAACCTTGATTTTATAGCAGCACCAATATAATACCTATTACCACTACTTAGGACTTCCTCTGTTGATTTAATTTCAGCACTTCTTCATATTACAAAAAATATATTTAACAGTTTCAGTATACATTGTGCCACTTTTTAACATTGGGTGGTCTCTTCCTTCTGAATAAAACCTTAGACCTTCTCAAATCTCGCCGTTTTTGGCAGCACCCACATCGCTCCAACTTGTCACTTTCAACTTCGCGTACTGTCTTCAAAACCAAGCCCATAAACGCCTGGACATTACCTCCTCTGTTTTCTATTCGCGTGAAGAAAATAGTTTTGTCGGAAAGTCAAATTCACCACGAATAAAGATCTTATTGTTGCCATGGAAGTGTGAATAATAATTAAACATGGCTGCTGTTTGTCTTTCCTGAGCCCTCTCCAAAATCTGCCGTAAGAAGGAAAACAAAAATATATGAGGCGTTGAAGGAGAGAAAGAAGCAAAATACAGACTTAATAGATTCATTTCCTTGTGCAATGCTTTCCAATGGGCTGGTCCATATTAGGAGAATGGCTGTCAGAGTCTATTTGTTTGGCTGGGTTCACACCTAAAGGAGGTGCTGACACAATGCTTCAGTAATATTGGCCCAAACTGACATCTTAGACACCACTTTATTTATTCGGAGAACTGAAGGGTCGAAGGAAAATATTTGGGGTAAAATTTTTAAATGTGAGTGAAAAGTGGAAAAAGAACGGTTGAATTGGTTTGTCTACTGTTCGGCGTAATGGTACAAAAACAATATTGTGTCTCTCCTTTTGTTTAATATAATGCAGTGTGTAAGTGAAATTGTGTTGGAAATTTCACCAAAAAAGAGTTATCAATGTGGATTTTGATGTTGGAATATAATAATTTATAAAATTTTGATAAAACGACAGCACGAAATTGTGAAGTTAAGGAATTTGGATTTTGAATGACCCCCAAAAATGACCCCAAATTGTGTATCTTCTTTTGTTTAAAATAATGCTGTATGTAAGGAAAATTGGGTTGGAAATTTCACAAAATAATTTAGGAATTTGGATTTTAATGTCTAATTATAATAATTTATAAAATATTGATAAAATGAAGCAAAATGTTGAGGTTTTGGAATTTGGGTTTTCATAATTTTGAATATAGTATAATAATTAATTAAAATTACCCCAAATTTTGTTTTTTGTTCATTGAAGTTTTTCAAAGAAAAACTAAATAAATGTAGTTTAGGAATTTGGATTTAATGACAAATTTGGATTGTAATAATTTAAAATTGATACAATATTGAATCAGTGACATCAAATAGTTTTTTTTTGTTTTGTTTTGTTTTGTTTTTTTGGTCAGTGACAAAATGGCCAAAGCTTCCAGAGGGGCTGTTCAAAATTTCACAGAAGTTTAGGAATTTGAATTTTAATAACTGCTTTTGATCATTGATATACAGATAAAATGGACTTCAAGCACAAAGACAACATTGTTATAGTTTCCCACATTCCCAGTTATGGGTGCATTGTTTAACATTTTTGGTGGAGAGTTCATCAAAAGCTTTTCTCCAATGACACCAAATTGTGCTTTTTGGTCATTGACATCATTGCCATAGTTTCCCAGATGGGCTGTTGTGTTTTGTTGCGTGATTCAAGTGGAAGTTAAGCAAAGACTAATGTATTTTGAGTCACGAAATCGTCTGCAGATCGCCTGAGAACTGAACAAAGAAATCCGATGAGGAAGACAAGTCAATAAGGATTGTATGGAGAGGCCCTGGTACACAGAGTTTAATGAGAGAGGATGAATAAAACACCTCGATGTATTTATAACAGCAGCAGAGCATAAGTTATAGTAGTCATTGCAATGTTTCAGATGTTTTCAGATTACATTATTCCCAATTATAAATCAACCAGAAGAACAATATGACCACACATTTTCAAAACACAACAACAACAGTTCATTTTGTTGACCTATTTTAGTTTTATTATAGAGACATTTTCAAAATTTTCAAGATTTTTTGTCTTGAAATTGTGCGAATAAAACCCAAAACAAATCATTTACCATCTTCTATGTTATTTCTCCATTGAATTGCTTCTACCTGCTACGCCATATTGTAAGTACGTTTGATATGAGCATATGTAAACCTACTTTTCACCCAGACGTCTACATCCTTTTAGCTATTTCTGTTTCTTTATAAGTTAGCCAAGGCATGCTGGGCCTATTTTCTATTATCTGTTGGTTCCGTATTGTTTTAACATTACTCTAAAGTTTTAATTGCTGGGTTGCGTGATGAAAACTTGAGTTAAGCAAAGACTAACGCCTCTTGTGTCACGAAACCCCTCACGTATCGCCTGCCATCTGAACAAAGAAATCTGATGATGACTATGAGTAGATGGGGGTCGTATAGTGAACCAATGATAGCCAAAGGTTAATGGGGGGAGGACGGAGTGTCTGATTGGCCGGGGATAAAAAGGGGCGGGGCATGTTGTAGATCTCAATGCATAGAGAATATAGAGGAGACGTGCATCTATCCATTTATGTATACACACTTAGGTAGTTTGTCTGTAATGAGGCTATATATTGCGTGACTAATCCGAGCCTGCTACAGTGAGTGAAGGCTTGATCTGTTGGAGGGAGATGCATGCAGGCTGACAGCACGCCGTAAGAGAAACACGCAAACATGAATTGAACACGCAATGTACACGCCATGGCCATGTACATGTGACTGTCAGGGCACGCCACACTTTAACTTGGGCTTGAGGTACTCGCTAATGTGTAGGCGCCACCAATACAAGTGACTGCAGGTGGGTTTTATAAGAAGAAGAATGTGATAAGCTTAGATCAGTCAACAATTTAACAATCTTAAATGAACCGTGAGAGAAATGACTTGGACACAGTAGCTCAAAATGCAATATAAAACATTTTATATATTCAACAAAGCAACAATAATGCAGTTAGAATAATAATAAATAATAATGTGAGTTAATACGAGTCATAATATTGAGTTATATTGTTCATACTTTTAATTTTTTTATTCTATTGTTGTTCTTGTACTTTGTGTTGCAAAACTGAAATTCCCCCATTGTGGGACAAAGAATTGTTCTCCTATCATTTAATTCACTTACAAACCATTTACTTTCCTTATATATTTTTATTTTTTAAACAACAGATCTCTAGAAATAACTATTTTAATGAAATTGAAAATTGTAAGGCCTTGTTTTGTTTAGTTGTTTATACATATTTTAAAACTATCCATGGGTTTAAGAGCGATGAGTGATTTTTTTCTCTTTTAACAAAATATTTTTCCTTTTGAACAGCCAAAAATTTGTATTTGTAGCAGCAGAAGTAGTAGTAGTAATAGTAACAGTAGTTGTTGTAGCAGAAGTAGTAGTAGTACTAGTAGTAGTAGTAGTAGTAGTCGTAGTAGTAGTAACAATATTTGTAGTGGTAGAAGTAGTAGTAGCAGAAGTAGTAATAGTAGTAACAGTATTTGTATTAGTAGAAGTAGTAGTAGTAGTAGTAGTAGTAGTAGTAGTAGTAGTAGTAGTAGTAGTAGTAGTAGTAGTAGTAGTAATCTGCATTGTTGTGCGTTGTCTGAATCTAAATCTCATATTGTGTGACTGTGCTGCCCTGTAAAGTCATTAAACCCCACATGGTTTTGTCTTGTTTCTGAAGTCACGGCACGCGATATCTGCTGGCACCAGGGCAGAGCCACTGGAGATCTCTTTCTAATGCACTTAATGTGTCCACCATATGAACTTTGATCACTGGCCCTGTTGTTTTCCTCTGTTTTTCCTGTTCTGATATGACCCTATTTTTAAGGTGTGTTTAATTCATGTTTAGTGTTATGTAAGTTTCCTCACATTTCTTTTTTATCTTTTTTTGTCACAGCAAACCAAGACAAGAGCTCCAGAAAGCACGCGATCCACACCAACCATGAACCCAGGAAAGACAGCTCCCCCATGGGCTCCATTGTGAACGAGAGCAGCCTCCTCCTGGAAGTAAGGAACTATACATTTATACTACTAGTTAAACAGGGTATTTTGATTGATATTAAAGTAGTATTTTTAAAAGTATAATATTTTAAATCATAATGTTATTTTCTGATCTATATTATAATGTTGTTTCCTCATCAAAAACAGACACGGAGTTGTGTTTTGTTTCATTCACACATGTTTAACACACAAACCCTGCGTATTTAGGCTGAGTTCTCCTCTCAAACAGAAAACACACTGTTCCACTTTGTGATGTCATGTCGAAATACAGGAAAAGCTCCACTGTGTTTGCAAAGTCCACACATCTTCACTAGAATCATTTGGATAATTTCAACAGTGGAACTGCCAATCTCTACTGAACTAAAAGTAAAAGGGAGCTTTGAACTTGACAGCTACCACTTCATGACATCACAAGGTTGGAGATATAGACAAACTAATAATAAAGGATTATTCAAACATCTGTGAATGAAACAAAACACAATTCAAGGTATGTTTTTGAGAAGGTAACAGCATTATAACTTGGCCTAAAGCTCACAAGGGTAAATTTTGCATAATAATGGAGCTTTAAATCAAAATGAGACATGAAGATTTGACTAATGAGCTACTGAAATAATCATTACTCACGTCCTTAACTTTGAACAATAATAATTTTTTTACTACTTACTCACTAATCATTCTATATTCCCCAATGGTATAGTCTTTAGTATGCTATAGGAAGGGCCCATGCTCTTGTATAGAGAGGAAAGGAGAGGAGGGGGGGTGTTCCATTGTAGTGCTGGCTGCGTGTGTGCCCTTTGCCCACTGTAGTGACCCCCTTTGCCGGGCGCTGGTGTTGCGTGATACGGGGGGCGAGATCAGAGTGTCAGAGCTGATGAAGTGTGGTGTCTGTGGGAGGGCATCTGTGTGAAAGTGAGCAGAAGATGGTGAGAAAAACACACCACGCTGTCAACATTAATTAGAACAACAGAGCAATTTGGGCTTCGGCGGTTGGTCCCTGTATAATGGCTTGGTTAGGGAGGCACTCACACGTATTACGATTGCATAAGGACGGGGATACACGCGTGCAGTTCAAAGCTTTGACACAAAAGGGTGAGACGGTCAATGTTTCATGCATAGACAGAGGGTGACCAGTGAACCATGTAATTGACTGTATGAAGTCTGCCCACAGTTGAGAAGTGGAACCATTGAGAATATGTCACGAAAAGAACAAAATACTGAAAATTTAAATTACATTTTTTGTTTTTTTGTTGTTGTTGTTTTTGTTTTGTTTTTTAGATTATTTGCACAGGGCAGTGGTGGAATGTAATGAAGCAAAAGTAGTAAACTACTGTACTTAAAGATGCACTATATAACTTTTTGGTTTGGTGTCTGTCACCTGCTTTCTTCTATGGATATGTCATTGCTCTTCTTAAAATGTTCCACAATGTGATATTAAACAGATCTACTTTACATTTATTAAATTACTGGTGGTTTTATAGCTCAGATCTGACCTGTAACTTGGTCTGGTTTGGTCTTCATAAAGATAAAAAGGTTTAATGCCATACTGTGAAACATTCCAGACAAAGTCAATGACAATGACAATGACAATGATTTACATGAGAAAAAAAACATTCACACCCTCAACCAGAAAAGTAAACTTGAGTGAATTTTAAAGTAGATATGTTTTACTTTTACTTCACTACATTTGAGAGCAGATACTACATTTTTGAGCTGGACTGAAAAGTAAAAGTATTTTTTTTATTATCGTCTGAGGCCTGCATGCTGAAAAGGACAAGTACCACTAGATCTAAACCAGGTCTATAACAGGACTATACCAGGTCTACAAAGGTTAAACCATGTCTTAAATAGGACTACACTACTAATCACTGGCTCTAAGTAAAGCAACACTAGGACTGAAGAGCAGATTGTCCCGGGCGCTTGGGTTTTATGGGCCTAGAATTGAATTGGAACCTCATTGTATTAATTTATACTAGAGGAGGAAGTGCCATGTGAGGTTTCTTGCCCTGGGCCATTTCTGTCAGCAGGCCTGCATATAGTAAATCTAATGTTTTATGTAATTTACATCAGGCTTAATACATCAAATCCCTGGAAAGACTGCTGTTTTTCCATTGAAAGCATTACACCTGAAACATAATTACACAATAACTCATAATTACAGATCATGCCATAGGGATTTAAAAGCATCATATCATCATATCAGCACTGAAAAAACAGGTTAAGTCTATGGAGAAGTCTAGATAAAAGTGATACAAAATGCAGTCTTGGATAACTATACTTAAATTTATTTCAATTAAATTAAAACAAAAATGTAAATGCTTTAATATCCTGGTCAAAGGTAAAGGTCCTATGTAGGGGTGTGCAAAAATATTGAAATATCGAAATATCATATTATATAATGTGATGATACAGTATATATCATGGGCTGCTGTATAAATATATCGCCAAGAGTAGTTTTTGGTTTATTTTACTAAATTATTTTGTTACAGTGCTACAATTTAGTTGTTTGTTTAGTGGAAGGAAACTCATTTATGCGACACATTTGATATTTTCATTGTTTTGAGGATTAAAATGGGTGTGTTTCATATGAACTTTGCTCAAGAAATGGTTTAACAAAGACTTTTAGTATCACAGCCATGATTTAGCCTTTATTTTTTTATTGAACCGTATCAAATCGATTTGGAATATATTGTATCGAACCAAAAGTGCACTATATCGAGGTATGTATCATATCGTGAGCTATGTAGCAAGGTATGTATTTATCATATCGGCGACTTCTTGATGATACCCAGCCCTAGTCCTTTATATTATACAAAATGGATTCTTGTGAGTTTTAACTTATGTTATAATGTTGTTACCTCATCAACAACATACCTGGAGTTGTGTTTTGTTTCATTCACACATGTTTGAGTAATTCTGGTTTAATAGCCCGTTTACATCTCCAAAGCTCAAAATGTGGCAAAATAGCAGTTTTCAAGTTAACAGCTACCTTTTACCTTAAATTCACAGCCTAAATATGCAAGATTTGTGTGTTAAACATGTGTGGATTAAACAAAACACAAATCCAGGTTTGTTTTTGATGAGGAAACAACATTATAATATACATCAGAAAAGAGTGTAATATGAGCCCTTCAACTGAGACTAAAGAAGGCTAAAGCAGCAATTAGCCTTTATAAATAGTTAATAAGAGTGAATTTCTGCCAAATGGAGAACTTTGTATTGTTGTGATATGTATTTTCTTGTCATATTGATCATTGCTGTAGCCATTACCTCCATATTGATTTGTGATTCATTGTGCAGGCCTTTGTAAGCTCCCATTGCGTGACTGGCTGGTGGGCGGATGTGCATTAGCTGTTGTGGTGAAGGGATGGAGGGAGAGAGGGAGAAAGAGAGGGACAGAGAGAGGGAGAGAGAGAGAGAGGAGGGGGTTGAGTTGATGTCATAGATGATTGCATGTCATGGTATGATTGTTGCTTGTATGTTTGACAGGTACATACATACATAAATCCCCATTACACTGATGCGATGTTGCTCATTGTTGCATGTACGCGGTTTCTATAAGATTCAGGTTATGGCTGAAGGAGCAGGGTACAGGAAATAACAGTTACATGTGCATCTTAAAAGCATGTTTGTGTAAAGATATATGTAAGATATATTATACTTCAATTATACTTTATCACAATTGAATTAACCTAAAAAATTGTATCCCTGAAATAACTATTGTCCTCCTATCTTAATAATTTCTCATAATCAACTCATTCATAATCAGCCTGTCTATATATGTGGCACTCAGACTGGACACCAAACTATAGTGTTACAGGGTTTAGTTTAGTCTTAGTCTTACTTTTTATTTTTGTTAGAATGAATTTAAATCTAGTCTTTAGTTAATTCAATCAGTGTGTTACAACAAAACAGAGAACCACTGTTTCAGACTAGGGCTGGGTCATCATTAAGAAGTTGCCGATACGATACATACCGCAATACATAGGCCACAATACGATACATATCTCGTTATAGTGCACTTTTGATTCGATGCGATATATTTCAAATCAATTTGGTACGGTTTAATAAAAAAGTAATGGCTAAATCATGGCTGTGATTCTAAAAGTCTTTGTTAAACCAATGCTTGTGCAAAGTTCATATGAAACACAAACATTTTAATCATCAGTGAAAATGTCAAATGTGTTGCACAAACGACTTTTCACCCTCTAAACAAGCAACAAAATGTAGCACTGTCACAAAATAATTCGCTAAAATATTCCCAAAAATACTCTTGGCGATACATTGATACAGCAGGCCATGATATCGATACTGTATTATCACATTACACGATACTATATATCAATATGTCATTATTTTTGCACACACCTATTTTCGACTATTGCGTTAGTTATACTATTTTGTATTTTAATCATGCAATAAAAAGTTAAATAAATATGTTTATGATGTTTGTAAATGCCAGTTATTATCCCGACTGAGTTTTATAAAGGCCCTATATTGTGCAAAATTGACTCTAGTGAGCAACCACATCAAAAACATGCACAATGTTGTGTTCAGTTCACACATCCTGCATTATTAGTCTGTGTACATCTGTGTTTTGTCATGTAGTGGTAGTTTTCAAGTTAACAGCTACTTTTTACCTTTTGTTCAGTAAAAGGTAGCTATTAAACTGAAAACTACTGGCAATTCCAGGGTTGAAATTAGCCAAATGATTCTAGTGGAAGTGTATTTGGAGTATAAAAACAGATGAACTCAGCCTAAATATGCAAGATTGGTGTGTGAAAATGTGTGAATGAAACAAAACACAACTCCAGGTATGTTTTTGATGAGGAAACAACTTTGTAACATAGATCAGAAAAAGTGTAATATGAACCCTTTAATTTTAAATATCTATGAACCATAAACTCTAATACATATCCCAAATTCCCCTTAAAACAGTGTAAACAAAACATTCCCACATTTTTGCTTCTACTACTTCTATTCCCTGTGGACCGCTCCGTGAACATATG